CCCCCCCCCCCTAAAAAAAAAAAAACTTCCTCCTCATTCCTGAGGTTTGATCTCTTAGCACACTCCCTTTCAATTCTATACATGCTCTATTCAGGACACTCCTAACAACAGCGAAGCACAAAGCTTTAGGAGACAATAAGATCCCTTAAACCCATTCCACAAAACTACTAATCGCCGCCCTTCATAAACCTTGTAGGTATTCTGCAGATATATCCACTTCCTAAATATCAGATAAGTGCTCAGTCTCAAATAGGATTAACCAACAAAAACTATTAGTCGCCAGCCGCCACACATTCCAAACCTTGTAGGTATTCTGCAGATGTATCCACTTACTAGATTTCAGTTTCAACTACTGGATAACCATCAACAAGATCCTCTGCTATATAAAACAGAAAAGAACTACTTATCCAATAAAAAATCAGAAAGAAACTCACGATCTCCATCAGCTAAACTATTGCCAGCTTCCTTCCCATCTACCTTTGCTGGCGAACTGTGATTCTGTGGCCAAACACCGGAGCAAAAAGACGTATTAGGTTTCCAATTACTCTAAAAGCAGGTCCGATGACAATAATCATCATGAGGGTTCAAGTAGAAACTACAATGAGCTCTCTTCACCTGCTCAGCATGATCAGATGTTCTTTGAGCTTCAGACTCATCATCAGAAGAGCTACTAGAATCTGAATCTGGATGGAAGGGAGATGCAGGAACTAGAGTTAAGAAAGCATTGGGAATTCTTACAACGAAAGCTTTTCCTACTAAATCAGCAGATACAAGTTGCTTTTATATGGAGAAATAACGCTAAAGTACACTTCTATGGATGAACATGAATTTGTAACACCAATTAAGTATTTATGTTTCTTTTCCAGCAAATATGGAGGTCTGTAGAAGACAAACATGCGTGCAAATGATGCTGGAATGAATTTTCATTTTTTCCAAAAAAGTTGCATTGTCAAAGAAGCTTGAATATGAATGAAATAAAAGAAGAATAAACTCAATTCAAGCGACACAAGCAAACAATGATCAAGTCTTGATAAAAAAAACCACTGGGCAAGAGAAGTACAAAACAAAATAGTAGCATAGCACAAACTTCAAAAAAGAAATAAGTAAAGCTTACAACATAGAGGAACATAAAATTAAGGTAACTTCAAACTCAAACGTAAAGCAAACTCTATGAATTTCTTGAATGAAGTAAATGTAGGGCCACAAGCACCCATTTTTTTTAGCAATTATGCAACATTACCAGCCAGGATCACCACTTATATGACAAAACACTTGACTGGAAATTGATGAGTACCCAAAAGAGGGATAAAACATCAAGTAATCGGTGTTTTGATTGACTATCATGAAGAGGAGTACTGCAAGGGAGAACTGAGAAGGTTATGATATGACTATGACAAGCTTGACATAAAAGATTTCTCCAAAAGTATTAACAATACAGCAACTTAATGAGAATCCTCACTATGTAGTGCAGTGAAGAACCTGCAAAGAGGATATAAGATCAAACAATAGAAAATCTAATACTCCTATAAATCATTTTAAGTTATTAAAAATAACATTTAGAATATAGAATATTCATCAAGCAAAAACAATTCAGAGTGTTAAAGATTTCCAGGTAATAAAAATTTAAGGAAAAAAGAAAAATCACATCCCACAAGATGGTAAAACTAGTCTTATGACTAAAAGGCTTTTAATTTCATCTTGCTGGCCCTAGAAGATAAGACAGGGAAGATTTGAGATGATTGAACATCTAGGATGCACTATCAGAACGAACCAGCACAAATAAGATGAAGAGTATAGATGACTAATCTGAATTACCATTGGGACCCCCTGTATTTATACATTCATCTCTTTTCAGATCTGTATCCTTCTCAATCTCAACTGAAGGATAACTAGAGACAGGAGGCTCATTTCCACCAATATCAACCTCCTCATCAACATGGTCATTACCTGTACATTTCCAGTACTTAGAAGGAAAATCATTGAAGTTTGAAATCTAACACCAAACCATATACAGCGTGCATGAAATCAAACAGAAAGAGTAAGAACCTCCGTCTACGTGCATGGATGAATTACTAAGCCCCAATCCATTTGGCAGCTGAAAAAACAAATAAGACGCACAATAATTCATAAACATCAACCACCCGGGGACAGCCTAATTCTACTTTGTATTTGAAGATGTATTCTTTGATTCTAAACTACCTCTATCTCACAAGGTTCAGCTTTTGCATTGCCTTTTTGTTTCTCTTGCAAAAACTTATCTAGAAGCTCCCGTAACGTGAACAAAGTATCATGGGGAAGAACATCAATGTCAATCTCAATCTCATCATCTCCAGCTGCTGTTCCATTTGAACTTTGTTCCTTCAAAAACTCAATGATGTTGTCTGGTAGATCACCAAGTGAAGCTTCTAGTTCACTGCTTAGTTTATGTTTCTCTTCATCAGTCATCTTATATATAGGCGGTTCTGGCATAATTACATGCTGCATTGGAGAAAGTCTCCTCTTCTTTGAAGCAGTTTCATTTTCTTCATGCAAACCGGATTTTTCTTCCACTGATTCAGCATGGTTAACAGGTAGCTTTTTCTCAATAGTTTTCCATCTTAGTTCAAAAAACTTGCTCATTGTATCAGCCATGATATGGACAATATTACCAGGGGGGTTATAGATCATTGCATTGGAGAACGTCAGTCTCACATCAGCAAGAAATTCCAGCGGACTCAAGTACGCACCTGAAGTAAGCCTCTTCTTTATTGTCCCCAAATCCATTGGATGTTTAATCACAGTGAAATAGTCGGGTATTTTTAACTTAACTATGTCAACAGGCTCATTAAACACGGGACCATGCTGATGCGACATCAACTTTTTCAACAAGTTCTCACACTGTTTCATCAATGTTGCTTTTGAAGTGGATGGTGCTGAAGCAGATTTAAACCTGCCAGAGGTCTCCCTGTTCAGGAACGACGCCTTCTGACCAAGAAGGTTTGACTTTTTCCCGGGCCCAGTTCCTGCAGATTTCTTCTTGCTTGCTAAAGGAGGCCCTTTGTGTGCATTGCTACAGCTAACGATATCACTAGAAGATGAAACTGCAACTGCACTTGTCCTATAAAACTCAACTTTCTTCTGCAGAAGTCTTATTTGGTCAAGATCAGATCTCAACTGCAGAACCAAGTTTTTCCTCTCAGATGGTGACATCTTGGATAACGGGATAACTTGGATTGGCACAGCAAAACCATCATGTGAAGAAGAATTTGTATTTATCCATCTCTGCTGAGGAGCAAAAGAATGTCCTGAAACAGCAATTCCAGCATCAAATCTACATGAAGTGCCAGAGCCTTCTGATTCGTAATTAGTGGCAAATGCAATAGAACCACCTCCACGCAACTTATCTTTCTTTGCCATTCAGACTGTAGAACAAGTACTACTTGACCTTAGCTAAAAAAAGATTTTCCCCAACCTATCACAAAGGAAGAGATGTTCTCAGAAAGTCAATCCTGAAACCATCCATAAAAACCAAAAGAGTTACATTGGCAGAAAGTCCTAGATTATATAACAGAAGCATGATACAAAGAGCTGTAAGTGTAGAATATAGCTGTTACAACAGTTCAGAATGAAGTTTAATTAGACATTTTCAACTTTACATTTAACTATTTAAGTCAGTTAATAAATTTCCTCTTTTCTCTTATAACCTCGTAGCTAGCTGTCCCATCTGAAATCAGAATGCATCACCTTTAATCCTTTTTTTTTGCAATGTGTTACATGAATGAATGGATTGAGCACGTTTTCGTATTATTTTCTCCCTTCTCTTCTGAGTTTCTTCAATTCTGTTTTCAAATTTGATTTTTTCTCTTGTATTTTATTTGATCTTTCAGCTCGTACCAGCATCCTTCTGGAGCTTCTAAATATCAACCAGGGCGGACAACTAGGAATTCAAAGGAATTGATGGAGTGACAAGGCTTAAATCAGAATTTCAAGCTTTTGTGATCGAGAGCGACAAAAGGTTGAAGCTGCTGTGAACTGCTCACTCTCATTTTGTTGCCAGTCCTCTCTTTCTGCTGTGCTGGTTAAGGACAATTTGGAGTCAATCGGAAGAGAGAAGAGAGTTATTGCAGGATGGAGACTATGCTTATTTGGATAGGCGCTAATGAGCTTGCTGAAAACTCTAATCCTGCTCCGATAATAGTTATTCAAGGAACTCCGATGACATATAAGCAACAATCCTTGTAGGTGGAAATACAAGGCAGATTCTCTACCACCAACTCCAAAGATCACACCTAGATATAGAAGATGGTCTTCCCACTGCTTCAAAATGTGCAGAAGGGGGAGAGAACAAGGATTATAGCCTACTTACCACTTTCAGCTTTCTCCTTACGAAGGAGCTCTTGTGGATCAAGGTACGACTTATTCAAGGTTAAGAAGTAATCTCCTTTATGGATACATTAATGGTTAAAAACACAGTAAATACTTAATTGATAAGTATGATGCTCATTAGGAATATGATATCACTTGCTTCTCGAATGATGATGTTTAGGAATAAAAATTAGAAATTTAGTATAAGAAGATCGGTCCCATGCTGAATTAGAAATTTGCATCAAACATATGCAATCCTCACTAGAATCCGTGCTTTAATTGTGCCTTTGCAATAAAACCCCCAACAAACACTTGTTGCTTTTCTAAGTTGATTTGCTTTTGATAACACTAGCTATAAAGGGGATGAAAGTCTCAAGAATCTGATTAAAGCATCACGTGAGGGAGCTATACCGGAGATCTCCTTCCAGAATAGGTTAGTTTGGTACAACAGTAAGTTATTCAACACACAATTCATTAGAAAGGATCCATGTCTCCTAGCCATTCATAAGAGACAGAGCAGCATTTATTGGCCTTCATTTTTCGAGGACGGCAGAAAGCAGGTTATAAGTGCGTGATACTTGCCAAAAGTGTAAAGTAGAGAATGTGGCATATCTATGTTACTACAAAAACCTGCCTATTCTTGAGAGGGCAGTTGAATATGCAGTCATGAATTTTATAATGGGGCGGCCAAGTAAGAGGGTAAGATCATCTCTGTGATTGTAGATTGTTATAGCATATATGTTCATATTTTCTCATTTGACATACTCTTCTCCGTTGTCCAAGTGGCTAGAATATTCTCAGATAATAAACAGCATGGACTACTTGCAAGCAGATTCTCTACCAACGAGATCTTCTAAAACCTTTTTGCAGATGGAACTTTTTTCAGGAATACAGGTCAAATTACAACTTAGCTTAGTCAACCCTCCACAAATAGATGGAAAGCCCAAGCAACTCGACAGCTTCCTAAAGACCTACTGAGATGTGTGAATAGCCACAAATCCGGTTGGATGTCCTACACATAATATTTGTAGAATAAGAAATAACCCCTCAGCTCCAGGGATGACACCATTTCAGACCATTACAAGCTTTACAGATTTAGTAGGCAATTGACTGCCAAGTCCTACCGAACGACCTCACTAAAACCCAAAATGGAATGAAACTTCAAGCTGACCAAACGAGTTCCTGAGGAAGAAGCTGAAGTCGGTGATTGGATTTCCCTTTATATTACAATCGAAAGGGCAGACAACCATGGCTATTAGAAGGACCCTTAAGCTATACCAACGTACTACTGGCGAAAAACGAGGGACATATGGTCTTTTCATGCGTCACAACTTAAAAAAGAGATTGAAGATCACATTGTTGCTTCAGTCGAGCTACTAGTGAGCACTTCCTTTTTAATAAGGGAGCTAACAGTGAGCACTCGTAATGGACAACCATAAGTGAAACCCATAGACATACTCAATCGAGATTGTTCACCAAGGAATATGCTGCAACAATGAAGTTTTGGTTACAAGAGACGGCTAAATTGGAGGATTTCAACTTTTTATACCCCCATTCCCGGACTTTAAACCTTTCGGACAAGGTACAACCGAAGGCGGAGGGAAAGCAAAATGAAGGATCCAACGAAGAGCTCGAAGGATAGTACGTACCCGTTGTGGCAGTTAAGAATGAAGCTTAATTTCCGAACTTCCAAATTTTGTCGTTTAGTCCCATTTCAAATTTTCCTTTTATTTTATTACCTCATTGCAAGCTGTCCCATGGAATCAGTACGGCCCAATAGGCGCATGTTGCAAGTTCGAATCTTGTTTAGTGAACCAAGACTAGTTTTTATGTGGAGAGGCGTAGAAGGGCAAGCCTATTTTTCACCAACTTTCAAGAAAGGAACTCCATGAAAAGAAGGCACTGGTTCTAAAAAGAATAGTGAGACTAATTGGTCCAGCTGTCTCATACATTCGTCAAAGTCTTCCTAAGAATTTAGCGACGGTGGCCTATTATCATTGTTTCCAGGTGACCTATGTTGACTACGGTGCGGTATCCGATACAGATGCAGATCTAGAAGTCGAATTCTCCATCACATAAATTTTAGGATTCGGGGGTATGATTAGAGTGCGGATATGGGTGTTATGATACAACCAATAAATGTATATTACAACATATAAAGTATATATTTCAACTAATTAAGGTTATAGAATTAAAACTAACAAAATGTAATTCTTTATACATACCTGGGGTCATTTGGTTTCAAGGGATTAGGTAGGTTATCTCAATATAAATTTTGAGATTAAATTTATCCCAGGTTTAGTTGGAGGTATAGTTAAAATAAAGTATTTTTTTATACCAAAATCTCGGTATAACTTATCCCACCTAGGTGGGATAAGTTACCTAGGTTTAAATCCTGGTTATAATCTAGATATCCGGGTTTTGAACTAGACGATCCGCTACTATTTTATTCATAAGATATCTTAAGTAATAGCAAAGCATTCTCCTACTTTATAACTACACACACATTTGTGTGTGTCTGTATAGGGTCTTGCTAACATACCACATGAACGTAGTGTGTTAGCTTTGTACCCATTTTTTAAATCCCCAAAATACTCACGCCAGCACATTAAAAACAACATAATGAGATGCGTTACATTCCCCAAACCAGGCGACTAGCCAAGTACGCATTTGTAATCTCTCGATGGTGAATCAATTTTTTTTATTCTGCCATTTCTACTCAGGGGAACGACTAAAATCCACCGCCACTCTCTATTTTGCACAACCACCTTTCTCCTTCCCGCCATAACAAAGAGTGGATATTTACTGGGAGAAAAAGAGACGGAGAGTTGGTATGAAATTTCCTCACCATAGAACCAACAAAATTGAATGTCATCTATTTCTAAATTGTCGGCTAGAATCTCATGCTAAATTGATCGCCATCTCCAAAAATCCCATGCTACATTGTCGGCTAGAATGTTGTTTAAAAAACTTATTGTGTTTGATTCAAGCTTTATCAGTTTCTCTTTATTCCTTTGGTTCGCCATGGACGATGGGAAGGGAAAGAATAGAGAGTAGAGGAGAAGAATTAAAAGGCGGGGTTTAACTTTTGGTGAAAAGATAAAATAGTCCATCTCATTGTGTTGTTTTAATGTATTGGCATGGGTATTTTTGGCCATTTAAAAAAGGGTACAAAGCTAAAATACTACCTTCATGTAGTATGTTTGTAAGAACTACATACATAGGGTCTTGTTGACATACTACATGAAGGTAGTATATTAGCACTGTACACACTTTCTAACTTCCTTAAATGCCCTCAAATACGATATGGACACACCCATGCCGTGTCGACACCGGTGCGGTAGGAAATTTGAAGAGTTCGAGCAACATAGCTGGCAACCCCCCATTCAAGGTCAAGGTTGCAATTTTCAGGGTCATGCCTAGCCTTGATCTAGAAGGAAATAGGATGGACTGAGGAGCTCGGGTCCTCGAGATCTCACATACCGCACATTCGTTGGAGAAACTTCATGTCCTTCTCTCGAGATCCTATCTACATAGGAATCTTACTCTCATGTCCTCTCGAGATCCTATCTACATAGAAATCTTACTCTCGTGTCCTTCTCTCGAGATCCTATCTACGTAGAAATCTTACTCTCTTCCACACATTACCGATGGATGTCGCCACAGCCACTATCACTTTGGGTATGATTTGAGCATATGTCTTTTTACTTTTTCTAAATCTTTCCTTATTCTCTTGGTTACTTGTGCTATGTTTTCAAATATCACTCTATCTTTTATATTATGATTGATCTTTCAGCTGTAGTTACAAATTCTTACACATATGGTAAACACTGCAGAAAACTCAAAGGGCAAGCTTTTCCCATTTATTTCATGGTAAATGAAACCTAACTTGATCATGCGAATAACTTTATCATGTAAATTTAACATAATAGATATTCCAAAAATTGAGTAGATACCTAATCAAGCTACAGAACAAGCTAATTACAGAGTGCTCACTATTTTACAGCTTAATTTGACGGAACTTGTTATTCCACGAAAAAGGAATACAACAGGACAATTAGGAGTAGTTATCAAGACTCACTCGCTAATATCAATTACCTTTTGCTTAATCACCAGTTGATCCCCAGAGGCAAAGCCCAATTCCACCAAGATTATATGATTCGATGAAATAAAGCAAAATCAAACAGGAAACCCTAGAATTGTTAACCTAAGCCCCAATTTGATCTCTAGCACATGCAAGAAGAATGAAATTACGCGAGGAGTTGAATTTTTACGAACCTTAGAATGAAAATTGAGCAAATTATAGGACAAGCCGCTGCGGATCACAAGCGAAGCTGAAAGCACGAAGCACCAGCTCTTCTTCAATACTAGAAAGCAGATAACTTTTTTTTTTGTTTTCCTTTTTTCTTTTTCTCTCGCTCTTTTTTTTCTGTTAAGAGTGAGAAACGTGGGCAAAGTACACAAGCGGGTTTGTCGTACCGTTAACGCCTTTAAATAGAAGAGAACTGTTGACTTTCCAGCGACTTAAATCAAATCCCAACCGTTCAATCTTGCGTGCGGCTAATCCAACGGATGATATCATCTATAGGGCTTCTGTACATATCTTGATCTGACGGGTGAAAACCACCTGAGCTTAGGGTGTGTTTGGTACGCAAGAAAATGTTTTTCAATTTTCCTTGTTTGCTTGGCTTAAATGTTTTGGAAAAATATTTTCCTTATTAACTCATTTTCCTCAAATGTTTTCCTTATCTAGAGAAGGGAAAACATTTTCCAAACTTTCTCAACCTTTCCCATCCTATTCCCACCCTTAAAGTACACAAATTAAGGGAAATAACTTCTCAAGAGTATTTATAAATAATTTAGATACAATAAACATGAAGCCATAAACTTTCGAACTAACAACCTTCCGAAACAACAAATTTCATAAACTTTCGAACTGCTAAACTTTCAAAACCGCAAACTTTCGAACCTGTAAACGTAAAAAAACGTAAACCTCTGAACTCATAACCTTGGAACTTGTAAAATTTCAAACCTATAAATCCAAATATGAAAAAACTAAAACTGAAAATATATAAAAATAATAAATAATCCCGGGGG